AGGCTGGGTCTTGAGCGGCCCAATGCCGACATCTACTGGTTTCCTTTCTACTTGTTTCAAGTGCAATACGGATGATACCGAACTAGCTTGTCAAATCAAACGCTGGTATGAAATAGAGTCATACGGAGCCTACAAACAGGTCGATTCCCGTTCAGCCGAAGACAAAAGGGCGGCTAAAATACTTGGTTCCTCCACCGTCCACGATGGATCAAGATACGTTGTAGGTATGCTTTGGGCAGACGAATCTATCATGTTACCAGATAATTACTATTCCTCTTTGGTTCAGTTAAAATCGTTGGAAAAACGTTTAGCGAAAGATCCTCACTTAAGGGATCAATACTCAAAAACTATCGAAGATGATTTGAGTAAAGGATACGTGATTCAAGTTCCTCCCCATAATTTTTTGAACCGCAGCATACGCGAGTGGTATCTTCCTCACCATCCCGTGGTGAACCCAAACAAACCTGGTAAAGTGAGGCGTGTCCTTAACGGAGCGTCTAAATTCCACGGTACGTCATTGAACAAATCGTTGCTAGTAGGACCCGACCTACTGCAGAACCTTGTGTTCGTTCTCCTCCGTTTTCGTCAACATCATTTTGCCGTATCGGCTGACATTGAAGGGATGTTCTTACAAGTAGGGGTCCTTCCAGAGGACCAACCATCTCTTCGTTTTCTGTGGCGGGAGGACCCCACAGCCGATGTGGTTGTACACCAGTACACCAGACATATCTTTGGAGCGAGAGATTCGCCAACGTGTGCAAATTATGCATTGCAACGGACTGCAATGGATAATCAGGCGATGTTCCCTGACGCAGCGTCCGCAGTTCTAGAGAAATTTTATATGGACGACTACCTTGACTCTTTTGAGGACCCTGATGTTGCATTTAAAATGAGTCAAGAGTTGATTACTCTGTTAGCTCTAGGTGGTTTTAGATTAACTAAGTTCATAAGTAACGTAACTAAAATTAATATAGAGTTAAACCCGCCCCAAAGCGCGCCGCAACAGGAAAGTAAAAATATTGTAACTTGTGGGGATAATTCTTCTCATGTTCTTGGTCTGAAGTGGGACCATATTGACGACACTTTGGTCGTAAGCCGTGGTGTCAACCGTGAACTTAAAAATTCGATAACACAGCGAACAGTGTTAAGTTTTGTTTCTTCCGTTTTCGACCCCATAGGTCTCGTAGCGCCCTATACCGTAAGAGCGCGATTATTGTTGAAAGAAATCTGGCGCATTCATGGTCAACAATGGGATGATCAGCTACCCATTGATATCAAGACAAAATTTCTTGCCTGGCACTCTGGTTTGCCATCTCTAGGGAAAATGAGTATAAAGCGCAGCTACTTCTCTGCACCAGTCGATTGGGTTGAGTTACACATGTTCGGTGACAGCTCGGAAGAGGTTTTTTGTGCTGTAGCTTTTCTTCGCGCCCGTGTGAAAACTTCACTCGAAACACAAGTTGCCTTCGTCTTTGGAAAAGCAAGAGTGGCGCCCATGAAAGCGCTTTCCATACCGAAGCTTGAACTGCAGGCCGCGTTACTCGCTACCCGCTTGAAGGAAGATGTCCTCAAAGCTCTAACCATTCCTGTGTCAAACACGTTCATGTGGACTGACAGCACCACTGTGCTCCAGTGGTTAAACTCAGGTAGTAAGCAACCCACGTTCGTGGCAAACCGGATTGGAGAGATTCTAGAAAGTACGACCGTAGACCAGTGGTTTCATGTCTTAAGTGGAGACAACCCTGCTGATACAGGAACCAGAGGAATCTCAGCGGAGTCCTTAAAAACAAGCAGCTGGGTGAACGGGCCAAGTCTGCTGCAAAGTGGCGAGTGGCCTTTCAAGCCGAGCATAGAAATACTTAAGAAAATCCGCCTGGCTGGTCCCGCTTGTGACCTTAATGAAGGCTTACAGCAGGCCTCTAATTTTTCAAACGTTGCACTAAATCAAAAACAACCCATTTTATTTGATTGGGAAAAGTTCAGCTCGTTTCGTAAACTCCAGCGAGTGGTTGCCTTCATGCTCAGACTTAGTCCGAAACACCGGCACTACCGCACTAAAGTCAAGGAAATAATCGATCCGGTTGAATTAGAAACCGCCAAACAACGACTTTTGTTGATTTCCCAAAAGGAATCTTTTGAAGCGGAATATTTACTCCTGTCCTGCAACAAAACCGTCAAAAAGTCTAGTCGTATTGCACAGCATGCACCGTTTATGGGTCCTGCTTTCCTCATTCGTTCAACTGGGCGAATTCGCCGCCTAGTTGAAACTGAATATGACGTAAAACACCCCATAATCCTTGATGGAAGGCATTCTTTGGTGAAATTGTTCGTAAGTGATATTCATTATCGCTATCAGCACCAGTTCTTAGACTACCTGCGAGCTGTAATTCACTTAGAGTTCGCAATCTTGAACCTTCGCTCTTTATTGAAGTCCATTGAAGTCCACTGCCTTATATGTAGGAAGCGCAAAGCCAAAACTGTCACACCTATGATGACAGAGCTTCCAGTTGAAAGGCTTGGTTACCGCCAGCCTCCCTTCACAAACTGTGGTGTTGATTACTTTGGACCCTTTTACGTCTCAATCAGGAGGAGTTCTGAAAAACGATGGTGCTTCCTTTTTACATGTATGACCACCAGAGCTGTACATATTGAGATTGTCTCATCCATGGACACGAGTTCGTGTGTAATGGGAATGGAAAGATTCATTGCCCGTCGCGGCACTCCATCAGTCATTTGGTCTGATAACGGCACCAATTTTGTGGGAACCGAGAAAGAACTCTTAAATTGTATTCAGTCATGGAACGATCAAGCACCCCCAGAGCTGGCGAAAAAAGGTATTAAGTGGAAATTTAACCCCCCGGCAGCCCCGCATCACGGTGGTTCTTGGGAACGCCTCGTTCGGTGTTGTAAAAGGGTATTCTACGCAATAATAGGAAGTAGAAAGCTCACTCCCGAAGTCCTTGAAACAACTTTCTGTCTTGTAGAACAATCACTGAACGCTCGACCTATAACATCAGTAAGTGCAAGTCCGGATGGTTTCGAGGTGTTAACTCCTAATCATTTTTTGTTAGGCCGAAATGGTACTAGCTTTCCTTCTCTCTCTTTCCAGGAGCACTTCGACCATCGAAAGCAATATATCCGAGCGCAAAGCTACGCCAACGCAATTTGGAGTCGTTGGCTGCGAGATTATGTGCCAGCACTAAATAAACGCAGTAAGTGGCACTCCGATAGTGACGTTATTTTAAAAACAGGGGATTTAGTGTGGATTGTTGACGAACGCAGCCCAAGGGGACACTACCCTCTTGCTCGTATAAAAACCCTTAATTACGGAAAAGACAACATAGCCCGATCCGCCGTAGTTACCACCCGCTCCGGGGAGCTAACTCGACCGGCCGTAAAACTCGCACCCGTTTTTGCTCCTTTGGTCGCGGAAGATGTTCGCGCTTAAATTAATGACGTCATTATAGCGCGAAAGTGAAAAAGCTAAAATTAGATTTGCTTAGACAAAAGGCCTTGAAAACTACTGGTTTGTCCGATTAAGGTCAGTTTGCCATCAAAATGTTTATAGATTTTGGAAGTTGTTGAAAAAAACCGTTCGATAACATGTTAACCGAAAATGTTAAACTGATGTTTGCCTTATTTTATATTATCTTTATATTGTCATATTATCTGTTTAAATTGCCGATAATTTACAGATGTTGAACCAGGTTTTTTAGATCTTACAGGATACGAGAGTGCGGCACAGGGGGGGCGGAGGCCCCCTTCCCCTCCCCTCAGGGATTCGACCCCCTGCCGACCCAAAGGGTCCCCCCGTTGATACTTTTTAAGAAATCCATTTTTGGCCGACCGACCCTAAAATTTTTCTAAAGGGACCTTTGGCGCCTATATATACCAAACTTTGATGGGGAGCGCGCGACAAAAAAACGCGATTTTTTCGTCAACATTTTTCAAAAAGTGCCCAAAAACGGCTTTTTTTACTGTTTTTTCAAAAGTTTGCCTGCGGCGCTGAAAATTTAGCCAAAATAAGGGTAAAACAGTGCTTTGGGAGAGCTCGAAAAATCACTTTGGTCGACCTAAAAAAAGGTCGTCAAAATTTTCGAACATTTTTTGAAAATCCGCCCCCCCCCCTCAGGAAAATCCTAGATCCGCCCCTGGGTGCATATAGACTTTTTGAAAAACCACAAAAATATGAGCGCAAAGGAGAAAGAAGACAGAGGGCGTGCCGAAAAAAAAATAAGTGCAAGAATTGCAAAAAAAATTGCGAAAGTGACCAAATGAGTTGAAAAAAGTTTGGTTATTTTCGAATATAATGAAATTGTATTTTTGGCACTAAATTTATTCGATGGAAGGGTATGAATTAGGTCTTCGGGTTGAGGGGAGCACATTATAAAACTGCTTTCCAGCAAGTTGTTCGACTTTTTTAGGTCAACACGTCTGTAGTAACAGGGGCGGATCTAGGATTTTCAAGAGGTGGGGGGATTGGGAGTTTCGGATTTTCAAAAAAAAATCGAAAATTTTGACGAACTTTTCTAGGTCGACCAAATTGATGTTTCGAGCTCTCCCAGAGTACTACTACAAAGACACTGTTTTGGCAAAAATTTCTAGTTTTTGGACACTTTTTGAAAATTTTGACAAAAAAATTGCGCTTTATCGGCGCGCGCACCCCCCTCAAAATAAGTCTATATTGGCGCTAAAGGCGCCTTTAGAAAAATTTTAGGGTCCGTCCTCAAAAATGGATACCTCAAAACAGTACAAAGGTCGCACCCTTTGGGTAGGCAGGGGGTTGAATCTCTGGGTGGAAGGAAGAGGCGTCCGCCAACACACCCCCCCCCCCTAAATCCGCCCCTGCGTAGTATTATATTGAGGTGCGTATAACAAAATTTTATTTTGGCTATTTTGGAGGGCGCTATTTTGAAGGGTTAAGCCCAGTTTTCCGGAGGAGGAGGGATCCACATGTTAGCAACACAGAGGCCTAAATTTTTTTATTGATATGGTTTCACCTTTGGGCGATTTGAAAGTGTTGAAATAGAACATGGCACAATTGATAAAATTCTCCCTGTGGCACCCACTGCGCTCTATTTCAAACCAATGTCCCTTCAACTCATTCATTTCAATTTCCAGATGAGAAAAATTGGACGGATCTGGACACTCTTCTAGCCGATCTTCAAAAAGAATAACACTTGTAAGAACTAAATGAACAAAGAAAGAAAAAAAGTTACAAACTGCTATGAACCACATTTTCTTGTAACAATAAGATCCTGTAAATAACTGCTTGTTTGATGTCAAAGAAACCGAACTTGTTAAATTACTCACTTGGCTCTTCAATTGATACTATAACATGATCAGAATGCATTAACAAGTTGTTGATTCATGTTGTATCAACTGGTTTGTGGTAGTAACCTAATCATGGCGAGCTGATAAATTGAAGAACACTTAATTTGGTTAAAAGTGACCCTTAATGACATCTGACAGCAACAGTACCTAATTAACATTTATTCTTATGACGATATAACTGCTGCAATTTTTCGGCCAGATTTGAATTTATTTCCCACACAGATCTTTAAGCGATTGTTCAGAACAAAAAACCAAAAGATTTGAAAATTTTTGTGGTATACAATTTTTTTGTCTATAAACTTGTTAACTCTTGCTAACGAATACTTTAAAAAACAAGCAGCAAACAATTGGAGATGAATCTTTGATCAATTTGAAAATTTCACTCAAAAAAGCGAAATTATTCAGATTAATTTTTCATCCTTAAAATTTTTTTTCTGGAAGTCGAATCACGGCTGTGAAGGCTTTGATATGATACCACACATGATTTCCTTGAAACTGTCGCTAATTTAGTCAATATTGGGCAAAATACACACTAAGGTAGGTTTGGTGTCCTCTAGTTTCGTAAAAGGTCCGAACAACAAGTTAAACCTTTTGCTTTTCTCGCAACCAAAACTATTTTAAGCAGTTATATCGATAACACAATCAAAAGAATCGAGGAGCATTTGAAATTAAACTTCAAGTTTTGTAATACTAAACTTTTTGAAAGAATAAGCTCTTTTTTCATGAAGTCTTTTGAGCTACAACTAATAAGAATCGCTGGGTAATTTTTATTTCGTAAAGCTAATTCAGAAAAAAAAAATCTTTTTTAAGAGCATGTTTTGTGTTCTATTCAACATATTGCCTTGCAGAGATCTTAGAAAAACAGTCAAATATCAAAATTTTTTGATTTTCTCTTGCCACTAAAAACACGCCCTAAAAATTGAATTACTTGAAAAACAAGAATGGCAGCAACTATTTTTTTTTCTACGCGCTCGGGTTACAAATGGATCCAAAAAACAGGCTATTAAAGAACTGATTTTAAAAAACTTCGAAAAATCAATTTCCTAGACAAACCATAGGAAAAAATTTTATGTTAAACTGCTATCTTTTATGAGTTGCGAGTTGTGGTATCTAAACTTGTACGAAAAAACCCCAAGCCATAATTTTAAAAATTAATCTTGTTTTTCAAGTCATTAGTTTTTTTTTTGTAATTGAAGTGCATGTTTGCCTTCTATTGAATTATTTGACTTGCAGAGATCTTAGAATAACAGTCAAATATCATAGCGCCAAAAAATCGAATTGAGCGTGAGCAAACTTTTTGTTTTTCTTTTTTTGTTTTTCGTTTGTTTTTCGTTTGTTGAAGTAAAAACAAGCCCTAAAAACCTTATAAAAGTGGCGGTAGGACCGATGAGAACTGCTGATTGTGTCATTATAATCAAAGTTTCGAATTCATTAATTGACCTTTGAAAGAATTGCCGTTGGGAAAAACTTCAGTTCAACCGTACAACCTCCCTCGAATCGATTTAAGAGAAAAAACGCAATTTTTTAAAAATTCTATTTCATTGCTTAATTTTATTCACATAACCATTTTGCAATTTGAAAGAAGTTAAATCAGGCGATTAACAGTATTAAATGAAAACCATGTTTTCGAAAGGCTAGTTTGCACAAAATCAGTTTTAACAAATGCTGCATAGCTAGCGGGGGGGTTCCACAGTATGTTATCAAGGGGAACGATTGTATGGTTGCTCCAAGAAATCTGCATCGAATCTCAAAAAATTGTAAGCTTCGAAGACTAGCCATTTGAATTTATGGGCAACAAGATTGCTCGTATCAGGGTGAATCCCTGCATGTTCTGTCTGCCTTTTAATAATTAATTTCTGTGAAAAAGATGATTTAATTTTCAAAATCAAAAAACTTGAAAGAAAAACTTGAGTTTTTTAAAATCGTCTTTCCACACGCTATGTAAAATATGAAATGATATTTTTTGCGAATAGCAATGTATTATAATGACAAAATAGGATGCCTCAATTTACTTCGAAACGATTTCTAAAACGGATTAAATCTCCGCTTACGCATTAATAGCGTTTCGATCAAACTGGCTATACTTAAACCCCCATAACTTTACGAAAAATGATCACAGGTGAAATACTTTCTTAAATTTGAGCTCAGAGTACAACAATATCTTTCGACTGATTTTTAAAAATTCCATCATGCTAGTTAAAAAGTCAAGTTTTGTCTGGAGAAATTAGTAACTCGGTCACAATTACATCTTCACCTTCAAAAGTCGGACCAATAAAAAGTGTGTGCTGCTTTTGTCGAAATTAAAAGCTAAAATTTGCATATCGCACAGATTTATAGTTTAATAGCACATATACAAACACCTTCAAGCACATATGTTATTGCTTTCTTCAACAATCTAAACTATACAGGTTTTTCAAATTTATTCAGTTTTTCACAGTGACTTGACTAAACGTCAATCAGGTTTTTTAAGTATTAATTAGAATAAACTAATTTCAGCAAAGCTCAAAAAAATAAGATCTGGAAAAAACTTTTAATCAAAACCGTTATGAATTGTCTGACGTTGTTGATTTTTTGTCTGGCTTATTGAAAAATTTGAATTCTGGAACGTTTTGCTTAACCAGGTTGAATTAAAGCAACAGATGGAGAAAAAAACAATTATAAAGAATGCTTATATTTTGGCATGTTTTTAGCAAAATGGAAGAAAACTGATGTACTTTTGGCACGTGAGTAGAAGCAGCTATCAAAATTTTAAAAGGAAGAAAATGAAGGGAGAATTGTTTTGAAACGGAATCGTGCGGAAGGGACTACAGTATCCACCTCATAGTCAAAGAACTAAATGATTTGGGGTGCACCATTATCCATGCATGTTACCTGGTGTGGGTCAACAACTCTCATTACTTAGAAGAAAAAATCACACATAGAGGCTTTCCGTGAAGAACCAATTTCAAGACAATACAAAAAGACTTCATTTCCCTGATTTTGTTTTTCAAAAAAAATTCACCTCACATAATCGCCCACGATAAAAATTCGATGAAACCCTGAATGTTCTGATTGTCTGAATGTTCCGACTGCCTTTTTAGGTCTATGAAGCAATGTTCGGAATATAAACATTAAGATGTTTAAAAAATTGGGCAAAATACCATCAATTAATTTTTAATAATTTTGCACCTTGAGTGCGTTCAATTTATTCATGTCCTGATGCTCAGTTATCTCTCGAGGTTTTATTTTTGCTATCATACTAGCAAAACTGTGAGAGTCGTATTGGTTCTTCCGAAGCCAGTCAGTTGAAGTAGGTATTGCTGCTAGCAAATTTAAGCTCCTTCCTTGATGGTGTTAATAGTTAAAATCAAGGCATCTGCGCTTTAAATTCATGACCAGGGGCGGATCCAGTATTTTCGGCAGGGGTTCGATTTTTTCCAAAAATTGTGACAAAAACTACGGCATTTTTCCGCGCGTACCTTTTCAGAGGTGTTCTTTAAATCGGAAGTCAAAACGGAAATGACATAGAAGTACCAAAAAAGACAATTTTTAATTCAATTTTTTTGGAAGATGAGGGGTGCCCAAGTTAAAAACAGTGGCCTGAACTTTAATTGATATGTTTTTACCTTTGGGCGATTTGAAAGAATTGAAATGGAACATGGCACAGTTGATTAAGTTCTCCCTGGGGAATCCATTGCGCTCTATTTCAAACCAGTGTCCCCTCAAGTCATTCATTTTAACTTCCAGATGAGGAAAATTGGACGGAGCTGGACACTCACGTGGCCGGTCATCAAACTCAATAACACTTGTAAGAACTAACTGAATCAAGATTGAAAAAATTTTATACGTTTTTATGAACCACATTTTTGTGATAATTAGATCTTTTAAATAACCGCTTGTTTGTTGAGGGGTTATTCTCATGGGCGAAGGACCGAATGGCGTAAGACTCATTTGCGAAGGACCGAAAATAGATACAGTAAAAAGTCACTTTTTACAATGAATCAACTGCCGTTCAACTTATAGGAATTAAATGGAGTAATATTTTGCTTTTTATAGCAAAATACTTGAAACAAAAAAATTGTTCCAACTCGCCGGCAGTCAGTGACAAATTGAAAACTTTGAACATTTCTGCCGTTTTTATGTTGAGCCAATATTAAAATTGGGTACCTAGAAAAGTTTACTTTCTTTGAGATTTTCACTGATTTTAGAAAACTGAAACCTGATTGTTTGATTTTTATTTTCGCCCATTCGGTCCTTCGTCTATGAAAGATTCCAGGTGTTTGTTGTCGAAGAGATCAAATAAAACTACATTTACTTTAAGCTTTCATTAGTACAATAACATGATCAGAAAGCATTAACAGTTTGTTGATTCAAATTGTATCAATTGTTTATGAAGATAGTCTGATCATTGAGTTCTCATAGCTTCGAAGGACACTTGTTTCAATTAAAACTGATGTTTTATGACACCTGAAGATGCAACATGACTTAATTAGAACAAATTTTTATTATGATTAAATAGGCCCCAGAAGTTTCTCGACTTTGAGTTATCTGATAGAGGCTACCAGTAAAAATAACAGCACAAAAGATACCTAAACCAGATGTTCTTTTCCGATTTAAAAATGATCGAAACTATTGCGGCAATGATCACTCTCACAGATCTTTAAACAAAATGAAAACAAAAAAGTTTCAACTGTACAAAATTGAAACTATTTTTAAGAAAAATTTTCAATTTTACTTCTTTTTTTATATTTCTCGTTAATTTTTACGTAATTTTTTAAATACAGAAGAGGAAAACTTGAATTCAGCTTTTGATCAATTGTCTAATTTAGTCCAACAAACCAAAATTGTTCAGATCCTTTCCTCGACAAGGGAAAAAAAATTCCTGATTTCTTTTCGAATTCAAATCACGCCTGCAAATGCTTTAGTATGATACCACAATTCAAGGTTTCTTTGATTTGGTCAACATTGAAGAAAAAAAACACTATTGTACTCCTTGGTTCCTTCCCATTTCGTTAAGTGTTTAAGTGGTCCGAACAACTCGATAAACCGGTTG